CCAAAACATCCGTTAAAATTGATTGGCATGAGCCAAACGATATGTTAAGATCATCAGCTATTTCTCTAATCGTGATTCGACGATTTTTCAACACAATTTCTTTCACTTCCTGAACATTTTCGTCGGTTTTTGACGTGCTGGGGCGTCCAGAGCGAGGTTCATCGTTAACATTTTCTCGGCCCTCTTGGAATAACTTATACCATTTATAAACATTTTTTTTGCTCAAAGTTGACTCACCGTACGCCACTGTCAACATTTCAAGAGTTTTTGAACACTTAATACCATTTTTTACACAAAAATTAATACAAACTCTCTGCTCCATTATTTTCAAAAGCAAAAAATCGCCGAGCACGCAAACACGAGTCTAACCTTTATGCCTCTCACATAAAAACAACACATGCTATATAGTCAAAACTGTGAACATATGATCGTGACGAATGTACCAACACAACAACAAAAAATTTTTTAAATTAGAGTGTACAGAGCGCGCGAAATTCAAAAAGTCACCTTACTTTTTGATCACACCTCGTATATATCGGAGAAGATGGAAAACGTACAGATAGAAAGTAATCGATATATAAAGTAAAGAGTTTTTTGTCGGTTTGTACATCAGAAAAAATCTGATTGCATAAACTGATAGATTCAACCAATTTTGTTAAAAAAAAAGATCGAATTAGATTACTTTTAGAAATTTCCAGATAAGCATGGTTAATTATTTATCTCACAAAATATCTTAATAATATTTACTAAATTTATTTAGGTCGGCAATCTTTTAATAAAATAAATTATAATTAGTTTAGAGTAAATTTAATTAAAGGTTTTATAGAGAAAGAGCTATTTAAAAATATTAAGTAAATTCTTATAGTTAAGTCTATTAAACAACCTAATAAAATATCAGGTTAAATCAGGTTGAAATTAGCAATTCTGTTCTTAATCAAATCAAAATGTATTCTACTATGTACATCTCGTTGTTACGATTAGCACATTTTGTATAATGTCGCAATCGTACTTATGCAATCGTGAACGTAATAATGAATTAGCAACTTAATGCAAGACGATGTATTCTTCCATCATCATGCATCGCATGACAAATTCACATAGCATCAATTACGGTCGCGAGATAATTCTGTCTCGCGATAACCATTTCCATGAGCGATCGTACTTTTACAGTACAGACCAGTCTACGCGCGCGCTGCGGATTTGTAATGGTAATGCTTTGCTAAAAATTTCATCGGGTCATTTTAGACATCGTTTGACATATTTTATTGCTTTTGTACTGCGTGCGCGCGTTAAACCAATGGTCGCACTTGCGTGTGGTGCATCTTTATACTTATATTTTTATCGTTTTTACCTTTTTGTTGCGTTGTTTATGGTTAAACTACTGCTAACATAACACGTATTATCATTCCGTTTGTTATCTTCTTTCAGTCTCGCTATATTTCTTGTTAATAATAATATTTTTTCCCTCGGGGGAGGGGGGGACTTTATGTGTTTTCGTGACACATGAAATTTCAAAACTAATGAAAGTTTATTAATTACGGGTTATGAATTGCCTCTACACTCTAATTGATAATCAATTTTGCGCTATTATGATATTTTCTTTAATCAAAATTGTTCCTGTTACTTTAATTGAATTCGCAAATAGTAATTATTTTTGCTCAATATTTTTGTGATAGATACATAAAATCAACTTTTTATGAAGAATTATATGTATATGCAATTTCGTAATATTTAATCATACATATAAATATTCACAGATATACGCATGTATAATTATTTTTTTATCTTTCTTGTCTCGGAATATTCGTAATGTTATTTATAAGATATACAATTCTTTCCATTCATTATAACTGTAACGTGCGGATGTTGGGCACGCGCGCGCGCGATCCTGGGCCGTGCGCGGAGAATAGTATTGCAATAAAGGTCTAGATATAGGTACCAAAGTAGCGCAAAGGTTCTCCATTTTTATCTACTAACCAATATTAAGCACTTATTGGACTACAGGCCAAAATGGCGATCGAAGTAGCCAATAGGAAAGTTGTCGACATTTCGGTTTAAATAAAAGGCTTGCGCTACTTTGGTATATTTAGATTGGTATTCATAGGCTGGTATTCATAGTCGATTCTTATTTCAAGACCATCTTAAGTAATGTCTTAAGACGCTAATGCGGCCTTCTGATTGGTTAGTGACGTAATTCATAAAGTAATGTCTTAAGACTGAACTTAAGACGGTCTTGAATATAAGAATCGATTATGAATACCGGCCTTAGATTAGAGCTTTATGTTGCAAGACTCGTGGGACAAACTCACGCATGCGCGCTAGCATAAACCGCTATCAGTGATGTACATATTTTACCATTATATGGTTATCGTTATAATGCCCCTCTTATAAAAGTATAGAATGTGATAATAATGCATCAGAGATTTTATACGATCAATGTGGATAAGATTGAATCAATCTTGTGGACAAGAGAAAGAGAACATATAATAAATTCTGAAAAGCCTTCTCAGAATCGCTGCGTGAGTCGAATGCTCGCTGAAATGAGATAGCAACATTTCTCGAGGAGACTCGAAGCCCACCAACTGCACCCGATCTAATATATCTATCCGAATATATCTATCTCGGTTGGCGCACGGCCTACTCAATGTAAACTAAGCGTGAAGATTTTTTTGTATTTTTTTATTCGAGATCGCGTGAGGATGCTTTCTTCAAAATGCCGAAATCTAGAAGAAAAAAGTGACCTTAGCCTGAACAAAAATATTTATGATGTTTTTACAAAGTTGGAGTTTATTGTAGCGTTGTTCCTATCAACTTGTATAAGATGCTTAAGTATTTTCCAGATTAACTGATCTTTCTCTCTTCTGTTTATTTTAACTTTTATTTAAAAAAGTTCCTTTAGTGAGATAATTTTTCTAATCTCGAGATTTTTTTCGCAGCTGATTTGTTCGGCTCTTTCTTAATCTAAATTGTCAATTGATCCATTATTGTTAGTTGTAATTGTCTTATTATTATATTTCCAGATCATCGGAATGTTAAATGCTACTTGGGTCATGGCGGACTTCTCGGTCTCTCGGAGAGTGTTTATGTAGGTCTACCAATGATCTTAGTGCCGATGTACGGTGATCAGTTTCACAATTCTGCTGCTGCAGAGACTAGAGGTACCGCGGTGGTGCTTGCATACGACAATTTAACCGAAGAAACGTTAAGAAGTGCTCTGGACAAAGTTTTTAATGATACTAGGTACACCTCCTCTTTTTATTTTAATCCTAAAATGAGAAACTTGTTTCTTACACGGAAAAAAACGTTTTGTTGAAATGTCTAAATATTAGGTTAAGTAAAAAGTCATCGCGTTTTTTTAAAAGACATCTATCAGTAAAAACCGCAATTACTTTCTTACCAACAATATAAATATATCTTGATAGAGTAAAGTTTCAGCTTTAAAAATCTCTTTTTTAAATTATACGATACGACAATTTTTAATGGAGTTATGAGCAATTAAAGTCAAAATAATTCTTTTATTTAATCCGCGATAACTCAGTAATCAAAAGTCGTAGGAATATTAAAAAAAAAAGATTTTGTAGGGAAAGTATCAAGCTTTCACGATATGTAATCGAAAATTTTCTCAAATTCATTTTGGACACGTTACAAATCCACAAAGTGAGAAGAAAATTTTTCGTCTTTTTCAGCTCGTAGTTTTTGGTATGTAAAAATGATCAAACTCATATAAACTTAAAAAATGTGATAAGCTTTTAAAAGTAGAGATTTCAAGCTTTAAAACTCTTTTTTTAAATTTGAATTTCATTCATTATTGACGAAGATATTGTATATATGTACAACTTTGAGCTAAAAAATACGCGATGACTTTTTACTACATCTAATATTTAGCTAGATATAAGTCTTGTTGAAAACTATCAAAATAATAAGATGACTTAAGTTGATTGCTAGAACATCAAAATTTTTTGCAGCATTACTTATTATGCTTCATAATTATATTTATGATCCAACAAAGTTATTTTTCAGGCCTACACTGTTAAAAAAGATATTAAATTTAATGTACTTTTAAGTTACACAAGTAAATTTAATGTAACTAAAATGTATATTTGTGTACATTTGCAAAAAAATTTATTAATGTCGTTTACATAAAATTTTTATGAAATTTAGTGTTCATGTATATGATATTTCAACATAGAGTGAAAGTATATCAATGTACACATGCATGGAATGTAATTTACATATGTGTGTAAATGAAATTTAATAATTTGTATGCGAAGTTTAATGAAAATGTACATTAAATATAATGTACATGCACGTTACATTCAATGGGAATGATTTACTTACACACTGTATAGAAATTGTCCACTGCCAATCACAGCGACTTCTGTGTAGGGAGTTTTTATATTTTTTTTCTAGTACTATGATTAGCTTGTGCACGGCGAAGATTCAGAGAGAGATGCTTACAAATTGCACATCATGTTATCCCTTCCATCATGCTTTAGCGTTCATCTGGATTTACGTTATTGCAAAAATTCCCTATTAACACACTATAAGATAATCGGTTTTTTATTTGTTTTTAATTTTGAAGTTAGAGAAGTAGAATTTAATATTCGAATAGAATACATGACAATGAAAAGAACAATGAAAAGGGATAGAAAGATCATTTATTTTTCTTTCTTTAGAAAAAGAATAAAAGAACGTATGCAGGCTCAAATATACAATTCATCAAAATATCTTCTGCTTTCAGTTACCATGAGAATGCCCAACGGCTTTCGAAAGCTTACCGTGATCGACCTGCCACGCCGATGGAGACGGCGATATGGTGGACGGAATACATCGCCCGGGGCAATGGTAGATTTTACTTCCGTAGCGACAGCACGGGTTTATCCTGGTATCAGCGTCATCTTGTCGATATAACACTTGTTTTGATTATCGTCTCTATAATATTCATATATATCCTGTTCCGGTTGGTCAAACTGCTATTGTTGTTGCTCAGATTCTTCAAAAGAACATCTAGAAATCAAGTCGAGGAGAAGAGAAAGTTGAAGAAGGACAACTGATTATGTTGTATCGTGAAATATCGGCTGCGTTCAGCAGAGAAAGCAGCTTTGTAATTGTTGTAAAATTCTTCAATATGATTGATTTACACTTGGTTTACATTTCCTCTACAAGGAACCAAAAGTAAGAACCGTATTGAAGAATTTTACAACAGTTGCAAAATTGCTTTCTCCATCAAACGCAACCAATCGATAGGAAAGCAATTTTTTGAGATAAAAAATAGGGGAGAACGTGGTGATGATTTTTCACATCAAATTACAGGCGAATTTTGAGCAATGGAGACGAAATGATATCAAATTTTGAATAGAAATAAATCGATTAATGCGAAAAATCCATTTAGTAGAAAATTTGTTGGAGGAAATAAATTCTTGTGATCGTTTGTCATTAGCTCTTCTATAGTAAAAGGGGTCAAATGTGACCTCCAGTTTCGTCTATTTTGCAAAGTCCATGCGCAGTTTAAGGAGTTAAAGATAGAAAAAGGAGTTTTATGATATATTATTTATTTTTGTTGATATATTATTTTTTTTTGTTACTCATTTTGTTGTATTGATTAGAAGAGATATATTAGATGAAATATATATATGAACAAAACGACACCAGTGTTACTTAAGGGTTCTCATCCAGGTATAAGGGAACAACTAGGTTCAGTTACAGGGAAAAAAATCGTACATTTCTCTGCTGTTACAAACATGATGATTTTGATTGAGAAAAATAATAATGGCAATGGGCGCTGCACGTACTTCTTTTTGAACATGAACTAGCGTCACCTATAAGCTAACGGTGGTAGTCCATTAACATATACCAACCGCGCGAATACAAAACTATATGAGAAGCCTCTATTTCCTACAATCCTTTTCTGGATATTTTGAAAATTTACTTTACCATAGGAGGTTTAACTTTCATTCGTACATTTTCAAAGACGCTCGATTCGAATATCATCCCAAGTAGATTTTTATGCTTTTTCGATATTTCTATACATAAAGTTAGTTGAGAAACACGTTATAATTCGCGTATGACTTCTTTTGCGGGAAGTATACAGATCTTAAAATATGGTCGTTAATCTTTAGTTTTTTATGGTATCTAAGTATAAATGTTAACTAGACCTCGTTTGAACAGCGCATACATGATGTAAAATTTATAGTTTACTAGGTTCTGATTTTTAATTTTTTTCATTTTACGGAAAAGTCGATGAAATTATTCTTTATATTCTGTAGATTTGCGTCACATAAAGCGCGTTGTTCCTTTATTCTTATATTCCTGTAGTCGAAGTTAAAGTTTATTACTTTTATCGCAGTGTATAACGTAGTGAAATTAATTAACGTAGGGAAAATTATACTTTATATCAAATTAGAATATATTTCAAAATATATTTATTTTTTTGTTTTCTAGAAAATATATAATTTTTATATTTTGAATGTATATTATATTTATCTATTGGATTTAATAAATATTTAATAAATAAATAGTTACAATAATATGTGCACTGTATACCTACTATGATGTTTAAAATGACTGATAGAAAACGATTAAAAAAATTCTATCGAAATAAATCGTACCTTTTGTTCGTGCTTTTCATAAATTATTTATTGTTAGTATATTATCGATAAAGTTTAATGTAGATTTTTTTACATATTCTACATACTTTGTGTTGCGAAGAAAACTAATTTAAGTACATTCTATATATCTACCACTTGATCGTTCCTTGAAAACAGTTGATCCGAAGGCTTGGCCTTGACCGAGTACGAAATAAATGTCTCGAATCTGAAGTCAATTGACTTACGATCTATGGCTTGTGCTGTCTTATTTTTTTGGCAGCTTTTAAAAAGTAACGGAAAAGTAACGAATAGTTATTTTCTCAAATAATGGTAACGAGTTACTTTAAAAAATTGGTAATTAGTAATGGTAACTTGTTACTTTTCCTACTCGGTAACGAGTAGCTGTAACTTGTTACTTTTAAAAAGTAACTTTTCATTTTCTGTTAAATAATATATATAGTATTAATTTAATTTAACCTAATTATCTTAAGCAATTAATTATTTAAAAAATTGATAT